GCCGTTCTTTTCTTCTGCCACGGATCGCTGCTCCGAAAGCTTTCCTACACACCTGACCCTCCCCCCTTAGGGAGACCTCTCTGCGCGTGCAGCTATTTGCACAGAGCCGAGCCCATCTGCACCGAGACTTCTGGAAGCTGCTGTACTCGGAGCCAACCTCCCATTACTTTCCACAGACAGCAGCAGTTTGTCAAACTAGATAGGTATATCCGTGAGCAGGGCCAGCCTGAATCATTTTGGTGCCCCAGGCCCGGGCGTGCGGCGCCACCCCCGGGTGCATGGCGCATGTGTGGGCCCGCCCCCCCTAGGGTGTACGGGTCCGCCCCCCTAAGGTACACAGGCCGGCCCCCGGGGTGCACAATGCATGCGTTGCCAAAGCCTGGCCCGACCACGGGTCCCGCCATTTTTAAATGTCCGCCAGTGCGGACTCCGTGCCGCGCGGCTACATGAGGAGTAACGGTAGTTCGGAATAGGAAGCCTAGTCCGAACTACCTAGTCCGTGCCGCGTGTAGCGGACATTTAAAAATGGTGGCGCCCGGCAAGATGCAAATGAAGCCCGGGAAATTCAAATCCCGGGCTTCATTTGCAACTCCGGTTGCCTACATTACCACCCTAGTTCGAACTAGGGTGGTAGTGTAGACATACCCTAACATATTTATTAGGGCAGTAGGTCACTTGGTCAGATGCGTGAAGTGAAAGAATCCGAGGAGGTGGATATATTTATACATCGAGAGAGGGGAGTGTTACGACAGCGCTAATGAGGCTAATGCATCTTCTATTTCTCAGGAAAAGAACTTGAAATGAGCGAGAGGGCTTTACAGGACAAAGCAACAAAGCGTGCGGATGAGAGAGAGAACCGTGTTGGCAGCAAAGCACCGTGACTCATTGCCTGTAGAATGACCTTAGAATGGGCATAAGAACATAAGAGCGGCCAGACTGGGTCAGACCAAAGGTCCATCCAGCCCAGTGTCCTGTCTGCCCACAGTGGATAGTGCCAGGTGCCCCAGAGGGAGTGAACAGAACAGGTAATGATCAAGCGATCTCTCTCCCGCCATTCATCTTCACCCTCTGACTGAGGCTAGGGACTCCATTCCTTACCCATCCTGGCTAATAGCCATTAATGGACTTAACCTCCATGAATTTATCTAGCTCTCTGTTATAGTCCTAGCCTTCACAACCTCCTCTAGCAAGGAGTTCCACAGATTGACTGTGCGCTGTGTGAAGAAGAACTTCCTTTTATTTGTTTTAAACCTGCTGCCCCTTAATTTCATTTGGTGGCCCCTAGTTCTTATATTATGGGAACAAGTAAATAACTTTTCCTTATTCACTTTCTCTACACCACTCATGATTTTATAGACCTCTGTCATATTCCCCCCTTAGTCTCCTCTTTTCCAAGTTGAAAAGTCCTACTCTCTTTAATCTCTCCTCATATGGGAGCCGTTCCAAACCCCTAATCATTTTAATTGCTTTTTTTAGAACCTTTTCCAATGCCAAGATATCTTTTTTGAGATGAGGAGACCACCTCTGTACACAGTATTCAAGATGTGGGCGTACCATGGTTTTATAGGTGTTGTGTTTATCCTGAGGGTGCACATTCGCACATGTCTCGGTGCACACAACAAAATTTATTCTGCACCTGGATGGAAAACATCCGCACATTAATGGAAAAGTTGAGAGGGAACGTTGTTCCTGGGGGTGGTTTTCTCCTTGCTTTGGCACACAGCTGTTCCACTCGGATGCAGCTATTGCTACGGTGCGTGTCTGTTGCTGTGCTACCATAACTCACAATGTAGACCACCTCAGCCCAGCTGCAATCTCTGATCTTTTGCATTTGCCAGCCCTGTCTTAACACCTTAGGCCAAAAATAAATGGTACTATCACCTGTTGTATCACAATATCGTCACCTCCCTGACCCCGTGTTTCTACTCAGCAGCTCCCAAATCACTTTGGTCTTACTTTGGAGAGAGAAATCACATGCTCTCTGATTCTCTACCCAACGCAAGCACAGCTGTATCGCCAGATTATCGCTACCCCCCGGTGCACATCCCCCCGAAGACGGTCCCGACAACCCCAAGCATTCAGAAATCAGCAGTCAGTCCCCCAGCTGGGTCTGAATCAACGTCATGAGACTTCAGAAACTGCTGGCATTTTTTCATTCCTGAGCCTTTGGGTCACATTTTAAATCTTTTTCTCCACAGTCATGAGGATTAGAAATGTATTTGTGTGTTTTGTAAAGAACACGGCGATTTGCATCTGATCAGCCCTCTCTAGGACCCTGGGCTAATCGGAACTGTGCTGAAATGGAGAGAGTGAGCCACTTGGGCCCAGCGAGCTGGCATTTTGCTGAGTGGCTCTGGGAACCATTCCCCAACATGTCTCTGAATTCACGTGGGATGTGCAGTCACAGAAATTGAACATCTCTTCAGGCTTGTGCATGGGAGCATTTCCCTTCCCCTCCTCCAGCGTGGATCCCTCTATAAAAAGTAGGGCACTGTGCAAAAAGAAATGTGGTAGGGAATGGAGAAGGGGCGGGATTTGGCCTATCAGAAAACCACAGCAGTGTAGGCAAGAGGAAAAAAACCCCAAACCAGATTGCTCGGGTGGGAAAGGAGGGAGAAATGCACTAAATCACTCATGCAAACAATGGACTCAAATGTAACAAAAACCGAGGCACATGTTTGTCGTTACTGCAAATCATTCAGAATGTAGAAAAGGACGTTTCGTTGGGGAAACCTAGCACGGCTGCCTAGCGGACTGTAACGGGAAACACATGTAGCAGCCTGTGGGCTTCCATGGAATTTACATGTGCGGTGCGTCTCCTGGTTACATTTTAACCATCTGCAGCATCGGATTAACCCTCCTGTGTCCCACAGTGGGTTTTGTTTCCAGTGTCTGCAGCGCTCGGTGCAAAATACCACATGCAAGAGTTTATGGCCTAGATTTTAGGGGACTAGTCAGAGCACAGTAATAGCATCTGCTGACAGGGCTACCGGTGGAGAGTGGAGCTTGGAATCACTGGTGTTAATGATACTTTTGCTATTGCTTTAAATGGGCGCAGGCATGAACCTTTAGCCTGCCCAGATTTGGGATGAAACATACATTTCCCTTAGTATATTGTAGGGGAGGGGGACTTCTAAAAGCTGGACATTTCGTTAAGATTCCAACATGAAACCACACCCACCCTCTAGGAGATCCTTCTGGGCAAGGTACCAGGGAACATCAGAGTAGATTAAAGGCAGATCCTCTGGTTTGGACCTAATCATCTTCCCCTTTCCAAGCAGGAGGGGGTGTCAGCTCCATGCCATGGGTCTCGTCCCACATGCATGGCCAGGTAAGAAAGAAATAGGCTATGCCTAGGAAGGGGCGTATGGCCTGAAGATTCAAAGAGATGATGATGCTCCACCCATGGTCCCACTCCCAACAGCAGCAGGCTCCCATGGCTACGGGAAAGTCATGGGTAGTGTTGCCAGATGGTTTAACCAAAAATACTGAACACCTCCCCCTCCCCGAAAAAAACATCAGGGAAAAAATTCTGTTGAGCTGGAAAAAAGGGGGGAAGACCAATGTTGTTGAGCAAAAAATAAAAGGACCCCGAAAGTTATTAAGCAAAAAAAAAAAAAAAACCACAATAAAAAAGCATGACCCCTTCAAGTGCGAGACAGGAGAGGTTGAGCACTAAGACCCAGGGAAGGCATTGCTTCCCTTTGCTTCCTCTTGCTTCCTCTTGCTTCAGGTCTTTTTTGAGGGTGGCCATCTTGTTTTCTTGATCGAGTTCCCTGCAGGTAAGCAGAGGGCCCGGGGATGGGGGGACGGGCCCAAGGGAGGGCATGGGACAGGGGCTGGGCCCAGCTGCCGAGTGTATCTTAGGGTTGCCAAGTATCCGGTATTTTCTCCTCCTGGCAGGGAATGAAACCAGAAAATACCAGCCATTTCAGGTGTCCGATATTTTATTAATTTTTTTACCGGACAGGAGGCAAAAGTACCGGACTGTCCGGGTCAATACCAGACACCTGGCAACCCTAGTCATGGGGGCGCTTAGAATGCATCTTTCTTTCGAACAACTCCTTGCTGGTCATTTGCTTTCAGCAAGGGTCAGCATGGGAGGGTTTAAGGCAGCTCAGATCCTTCAAAATGGCATCTTCCAGCCTCGTTCACGATCAGCCTTGTGCTCTACTTCCTTGGACCTTCCTTGTGACTCTTCTGGGAACGTGTAACTTCTTCTGCAGTTTGCACACGACCCCACCACTGCGGCTCTTTTGTTCACAAAACTGCAACTTGCCGGGATGAAGTATCTCTTCCTTTGTGATATAAATCAATGTGTGTTGAGGATACACCCCAACTTTTGACCCTGAACGCTGTTTAGTTTCCTCTCTTCAGCTGTTGAATAGCCAGATTTCTGCACTATTTATCCCTACTATGTCCTACCTGTGTCCTGTAAGTTAGAACGTAATTGTCTGAATTCTGTGAAATGATTGCGCACCAGAGAAGGTGTATAAACAGAACTAGAGGGTTGGGATTTTTGCACAAAAACTTTCACCATATGGTGTGGCAAGTATAAGGATCAGATCTTCAGCTGCTGTAAGTAAACATGGCTCCATGAACTGCAGCAATTTACACCAGCTAAGACTGGGGCCTGTAAAATTTAGTGTCATAAATAGCTATGTTGTTTCATGCTGGCCAATTCTGCTGATCGTGTATGTGAGAATGAATGCTGAAAATGAATTCATTTGGATGTGTTTTATGTATACATTTGTTATGTCTATGAGTGTTAATTTTTGCTTCATACCCTAAACTTTGCATGAAATAATTCCAAGGAAGGTCTTTAAAACACAAAAGGGGCTCAGTTATAAAGGAGTTAGTATAAGCTGGCCATTCTAGTTACATTATGGCAAACGAAGAATGCAATATGCATATTTACATAGAATATGGCATAGAGCAATATACACAGAAAACTAGTTTTTCGATCCCACCAAAAAAAAAAAAAAAACCTACACCAAAAAAACAAAAACCTCCCATCCTTAGCCAGGAAAAATATTCACAATCCAAAATACCAGAACAATTTTGGGTCAGTTAAAACATTTTGTTTTGATTTTTTCATTATTATTATTATTATTAATTATTACTATTATTAGTTTAAATTTCCAACGGTGCTTTTGAAAGTAGAAACTTTTTAAATGAAATGTGACAATTTCAAAACATTTTCAGGCTGACCTTTTCCTGTGAAAAGGTTTTGTACTGACAAATTGGCATTTTCAAACAATAAGAAAAGGTGTTTTCCTGAAAAATTCCTCGCAAGTTCAAATAACTAGGACTTGGGTTTCTGTGAATTTCCATGATTTTCCATTAGCTATAACAATGGTTTTAGTGGGGGGTCAGTATCTCGTTTGCTGGCAGCCAAACAAAGGGAAAAACAAAAACAAATAATGCAAAACAATATTTTCTTGTTTACCGGGTTTTTTCTGCATAGAGATATCCTCTCCAAATCATCTTTGAGACCTGCCGATCATGCATCTTATTCAGCCAATGAAAATATATTATAGCCAGTGGAATTTACCCTTTGAACGCCCCCTCACTGCTCCTATCCATTATCCATGCACTGATGTCGGTATGACTAGAAGGAAAACCGAACCTCTGGAAGCTAATGACTTCTTCACCATTGTGGGAAAACAATAAAAACAGCTTAAACATCTCCCATCTCCTTTTGTGTCCGAGACATTTCACCTCTTGATCCTTGGATCCCCTGACCTTAGCTTCTTGGTATCCAGCTGAGGAGACCGCCTTGAGCGCGGCATAGCTAATTATGACCGTACGCAATTCAAAAACAGGGTATGTATTATAGTTTTCCTCTGCTTCAAAATATCCATCCAGTTTGTTTGATCATGTATTTGCTTTGCAAGTTGATTCCAGGTGTCTAGGCAGGAATTTAACGCTCTCAGCCCTTGCTCTATTTATCTTTTAGCTCAAATGGCAGTTGATGTCTCAAGTGCCAATCCAGCCTCAACTTTTAACTTCCTCCTCATATTGGAAGCCTTTTTGGTTTAATCCTTGTTTCAAGCTCTGCTATTCTCCTGGCCCTCCAGACTCAGGCCACATCTTCACTTCCTGGAAGATCGACTCTCTGGCGATCGATCTTTCAGGATTTGATTTAGTAGGTCTAGTAAAGACCTGCTAAATTGAATGCTGAGTGTGCCCCCCTTGTCACCGGTACTCCTACTCCTTGAGAGGAGTAACGGAAGTTGATAGGAGCATTGCTCCCATAGACCTCCTGCTGAGGGGCTGCCCCAGAAAATTGCTCAAGGTATGTCGACTTCAGCTATGCAATTCACGTAGCTGGAACTGCGTATATTCTCTGCCAGTGTAGACCTGGCCTCAGATTCGGAAGGACAAACCTGTACCCAGGGAAATGAATCAGTTATCAGGGGAAGGGATTTGGAGTGGATTATCTACTTTCCCAGCACATTGCTTGTGTTAAGGCAGAACCTATGGGTCCCATTCGGGGATCAGAGCCTCACTGTGATATGGATTTGTTTGTACAGCACATACCAAAAAGACAGTTCTTGTGGTGAAGCCCCCGCAGCTTTGTGCAGCTGGCCTAGGCTACAAAGAAGTGGACGACACACCCTAGCAGCGAAGGCAAAGGAGGAGAAGGTGGTGACATCAGTGAAATATGCGTATCGTTGACCACGGAGCATAGTCATGACTCACAACTGGCCTTCTGCCTCGCCGGTCATGTTTTGTAGGCATCATGGCACTGGAGATAAGCCAGCAGAAGTGGAAATAATTTCTCCCGGTCTTCTCTGATGCTGTCAGTCACTTGGGACACCTCAGCTATGGGAAAAAAAACGCTGCTGTTAATTTTTTTTTAATGACCACTGTGCATTGCTTTAATTTTAAAAATAGGCCAAAGGCTTGACCTGAGTTGTTTGTTAAGATCTACCACACAGGAAAGGTCCAGTCAATGTGTGACGGACGAACGTGACTTGAATTCAGTTCTCACCAGATCCCGAGCTCACCAGTGTTAATGCCTTGGGTTAGCGCCTTTAAAGCCGCATCCTCCAACTCCGTGTGGGGCAGAGAGCGCTGAGTCGGCACAATTTCTGATGGCCAGTTCAGACCTTCGCACCAGCCACCCTCTCTTGTTCTGCACAGCCCATTGGAACCAGGCACAGAATAAAGCAGAGCTCTGGATGATCACTGAATATTATCCCACCTCACCTGACCTGAAGAGCAAATGTAGCCACCAGGCCCTTCAACGTAGGGCTTTGAATTAACGACACAGCCTTTGCTCACCCTTCGATAACAGCCACGCTTAACCCACACTTAACTCTTTAGGGTAGCACTTGTGGGGCTTGGAAAACTGGCCCCCAGAGGACAGCAATGGTTTCTTTTGGGATCACTGGTAGCCTATGGAGATGAGAGACTCATAAGGAGAATGGAAGGGTGGAGGGAAATTGGGGCAGATAAGGCGGGAGACCCCCTCCCCTGAAGGATTACAGGTTCATAAACTATGCACCCTTTGCTGGCTTGTCCTCTGTCCTGCCACGAATGCAAGTCTACACCACACCCTGAGTTTTGTCGTGGGATTGGTCTAGCACGTTTTCCGTCTGCCCGGTGGTTGCTTGTGGTCTCTGGGGATCCAGGCTCTGACGTGGGTTATCCCCGTGGTCTTGCCCATTTCTGCTGTGCATCATGTGAGCTGGGCGGAGGTGTAGTAAGATGAGGGCCTAAAACATAAGCCCAAGCAGCACAGGCCTGGTCTGAGGCCTAGCTAACAACGGACAAAACATGGCTAACATAGAGCAAAGCCAAGCAGTGAACAAGAAGCAGGCCCCTGCGGACAGAACTCGGCACAAACAGGGCTGAGAGTGCAAAACACTAATTGGTGCTAGGTACCGACTGCAGAACAGTAATTGGTACTGGTGATACGTTGAAATCACATGATACCACTAGCTCTTTAAAAAAGACCTTGGTACCCGTTCCTCACAGATACAGACCCAGGTTCAGGAACGGGTCTGAAATGACAGCATGATGGATGAAGATGATCTAATCAAACCACGAGGTACAGGGTGATGGGTGGTATCTAAGTAGCGTCAGAGGGTGCTAACCTGACAACGTCAGACGGTGGCAACCTGATACATCAGCAGTGAGGTGTGAGTTGTTTGTACCTGTATATAAAGTGATGTCTTGGGGGGACAGTCTTTGGATGACCTAGGGGGCAGTGGAAATTTCCATTGATTGAGTCATTCCATTGCTATGCGGTACGTACATGGTCTAGACAGTTCTGGGTCCTGCCATGAGGGCAGGGGACTGGACTCGATGACCTCTCGAGGTCCCTTCCAGTCCTAGTATTCTATGATTCTATGATATGTGTAGTGGTTCACTAGAGTCTACTGACAACTATTCCTGTACTTTGCTTATCAATAAACCTGGCCTGGCACCTTCGATCCTTATCTGGGTTGTGGTCTTTGGGGGCTCTCTTGGGGTCTGCTGTGGAGACTAAGTGCACAAGTCGACACAGCCCACATCACTGAGTACACTGAGCCTTCTGGTTCTCATCATTGATGGAGCCAGAGACCTGTGAGGACACCTCGGCAGTAAATCCCGACCTTCTCCCTGAATAACTGCAGGGGGAATTGGCAGAATAAGGCGAGACCTGGCAGGGAACAGATCTGTGGGGCTGACGTGCAGGATGGGTAGAAGCAGGACAGGATGCCTTCAGCTGAGGTGAACTCTGCTTTCCCTGGGGGGGGGGAGGGCAGGTTATTTGGGCACCCACCTCTGGCCACGACCGCCTCTCACTCCCACCTTCGGGAACTCACTGGTGCCGTGACGTGATCACTTCAAGGTTCCCCACTCTCGCCATCATCGTAACCACTCCTGCACCCCCAGGCCATTCTGCCCCATGGAGGCCTTTGTGACAGAGCACCCTGAGGACTGCCAGAAGGAAGCTGATGTGAGGAGGGCCGGCAGGCTGGAGAGGTTGCGTTGTTGGCTTGGGAGATGCCCTGTATTTGCCAGCATGTATGTTATTTGATGGTGATAGTGCTGGGGGAAGTAGTCCCAAAAGAGATGAGGTTTCATGATGCAGTGAAGCTGCGTCAGGCTTCCCAGAATTTGGGATCACACCTATTTATGTCTGTCAAGCAACAAACTTGGCCTCTGACATTCTGCTTGACAGAAACCAGGAAAAGGGGCAAGATTTTAAAAGGAAATCTCAGCTGTTCCTTTCCAGCCATCTCCATCCCAAACCGCTTTGAGTCTGGAACGTTGTGAGTCTGTCATCCTGCGTGAGTTGTTTTTGCCGGTGATTTTCATGCCAGAACACATAGGTGTCCTAAAATAAGCCTCCAGATCCTTCCTATCCACCCCTCCACGTCAGTCCATCCCCAGGACTAAACCCATCATGATCCATTCAGCCTTCAACCAGATCTTGGTACTCAGAGTAGCATGCAGGGTTGGACTCCAATTTTATCTCCAAAGAGAACTAAAGACCTGATGCAAAGCCCAGTGACATCGATGGCCATCTCTTCGGATCAGGCGGTAATTGCCTTGCCTTGAGAGAGCGATACAGGGTGCCTTGCAAGCCCTACAATGCTTAAGACTCATTTTCTCTTGTCTGTCTTCTGCTCTGATTCCATTACAAATGACATCATTGTCTGCAAAATGTAATTACAGCAAAATAAACATGAAGTGATTGCTGTGTATAGGGGAAACAAAATATTGGTGTTGCTAAGAGAGGACTGCTCATCTCGCTCTCTTCTGGCTTCGACTTTTGAACTAAGCGCATAATCAGCAAGACTGCGAAAACACAGTTTCCCTCCGACAAATTCATTTCCATTCCTTAATTTTGCAAACAGCACTCAACGGTCTGACTCTACCTAGCCCTCCCATGGTGTACAAGCAGTTCCTTGGACTCTTTCAGGGCTATAGTTGGCTGGAAGTGTGGTTTTCATGTCCTCTGAAAGAGGGTACCTCCAACACAACGGTGTTCCCTTATATCATGCTGGCTGCTTTTGTTTATAATGCAGACTCAGAGGGAAAGGTGGCTATCTGATGAATTGTCACACCACTTTCTGCAGAACCCTGGGTTTTTTTTTTATGTGAAGCTTGAGGGATCACGGCAGTCATTAAGAGGGCCAAGTATTTATCTATAACCTTTGTTTTTGCTTTTCTTTGTATCTTTCCTGTAAGACGTTAGAGAAAGACCTAATATCACTAGCACAGATGAGAATTAGAACTTTTCCTAGAAGTTGTCTTGCAGACATACTGTATGTTGGTTTTGCTATGGAGCTATAAAACCACAAAAGAAAGGGAATATGGGGCTGGATTCTCAGCTGACCTAAATGGACATAAGTATATAGAAATTGATGGATCTATGTCAATTTATAGAAAGAAAGATCTTCAGGGGTGGTTCCATTGACTTCAGTAGAGCTGAACCAAAGGTTTAGACTGCACTTAACTAAGGCAATGTCTTGGATCGATGCTCCAGTGATCAATCTTTCAGGGTTTGATTTAGCAGGTCTAGTAAAGACCCACTAAATTGAATGCTGAGAGTGCCCCTATCAATCACGGTACTCCTCACTGTCTCGAGGAGTAAGGGAAGGAGAGTTTTGACCTCCTGTTGTGGGGCTGCTCCAGAAAATCAGTGCACGGTACGTCGACTCCAACTATGCAATTCTCGTAGCTGGAGGTGTGCATCTTGAATTACCCTTAAACTTTCAGAGCCCCTAAGAAAAGCTTTGGTTTGGGGTCAGTTTGAGTTCAGGTTGTGTTACCTAACCCAGCTCTTCCTGTAACCTTTTGACCAGCTCTGCCTTGCCTGGCCACTCTAGGAATCTGGCAGCCAGATTCCACCAACAGCTATCACAGAACAAACAGTTACTCCACTGCTAAACATACAGCCGCCCCGAGTTTCCCTTCACCACTGGCATTTAGAACCTACCCTTTTGTTTGTCGCATTGGTCCCTTGATAAAATCCTGCTTATCCAGATGGTAAAGCCAATGGTAAATATTGACCTCTGCCTAGTCTCCTCCTTGTATATATTACAGTCACGAGCGCACTTGTGTAAATGGGACTACTTTCTAGGCTGGTTCTCGCCAAAGCAGCCGGGCCCTTTAACTTCATGACTTTCTTTTTCAGGGTTGGTGCCATAGGCTTTACCTAAATGTGAAAACCCACCTCCGCAAAAGACAAAGCCAGCTTTGGGGGGCACACATATGCCACTACTTTTGGGGCCACATTCTTTCACTTTGTCCTCCCAGCATTCCTAGGAGATATTGGAGTTCTATTAGCCATATGATGCAGATTGGGGGACAAAGCTTCAGACACTATAGCCCAGATTGTCCAAAGGGATTTAGGCACCTAACTCCCTTTGACTTCAATGAGGGCACGTCTACACAGCAGAGCTAAAGCCGAAATAAGAGTATGTCTACACTACCCCGCTAGTTCGAACTAGCGGGGTAGTGTAGACATACCCTTAGAGTTCTATTAGCCATATGATGCAGATTGGGGGACAAAGCTTCAGACACTATAGCCCAGATTGTCCAAAGGGATTTAGGCACCTAACTCCCTTTGACTTCAATGAGGGCACGTCTACACAGCAGAGCTAAAGCCGAAATAAGAGTATGTCTACACTACCCCGCTAGTTCGAACTAGCGGGGTAGTGTAGACATACCCTTAGTGCAAATGAAGCCCGGGATTTGAATTTCCCGGGCTTCATTTGCATAAACTGGGCGCCGCCATTTTTAAATCCCTGCTCATTCGAACCCCGTGCCGCATGACTACATGCGGCACGAACTAGGTAGTTCGGACTAGGCTTCCTAGTTAC